CTCCCTCGATATCACTTTAATTGTCCCGATTTCTTTTATGGAACATTTCAAATTGATTGTCCTATTTCTCTTTTTGGAAAGAAACTCATCCAAGACCAGCTACAATACTGATACATTACTCCTACCGCAACAATACCAAAAACCTCTTTCTTTTCAAAAGTGTACAATAATGATCTTAAATTAGATGAAAAAGAAACGGGACAACTACTAAAAGATACACAATTTATAATACTTTTATTTTGCTGTGCATTTTATAAGGTACAGTTGTAAGAAATTACTTATCGTTCATTTTAGGGATAAGGGTCAGATAGGGCCTCGAACTTCGAAAAAAATGTCAAATAAGGCATATTTAGGCTGCTATGTCCGGCTAACGTCATTTGGGGCGGTTCCCGGTGGAATTTTTTGATGAATATTTTTGAGAATCTTATTCATTAAGTCTAGTTTACTCATATCAAATTTGAACTACCAATTCAATCGGGAAGGCATTCAAATGAATTCTTGAAGATAATTGCGCTTTTAACTGCACAGTTATCTTCAAGAATTCATTTGAATGCCTTCCCGATTGAAGTTTTAGTTCAAATTTGATATGAGTAAACTAGACTTAATGAATAAGATTCTCAAAAAATTTCATCAAAAAATTCCATCGGGAACCGCCCCAAATGGCGTCGGCAGGACAGAACATCCTAAATATGGCCTTATTTGACATTTTTTTTCAAGTTCGAGACCATATCTGACCCTTATCCCTTCATTTTATGTTTCAATTTGGCTTTTGGATTTAAAATATTTTTTTCTTTTACACTTTCATTTCCATTATAATCTATTTTTAGGTAGTATCACAGTATGTCATGAATCTGGCCCACCCCATCTCATAATATGGTATATTGGTATGCTTGTTGCATTAATTTTTGTTTGGATACAAAAGGAAGGAATTCTGTTTGTAGCATCGATAATCATTATACGTACAGCAAATCAATGATATTTCAATTTATTGTGTTAGACCGAGTTTAGTTCAATGATTTGTCCTCAAATAATACTAATTTAAAGCATTTGGACAAAAAAAGAGACTTTTCTTTTAAGTTCCAAAAATAAGACTAAATAATACTTAAGAGACTGTTACACCCTTACTAAGCCTAAACCCACTGACTTGCTACAGTAACCCGCCACAGTGACCAAATGTGCAGTGACCAATGTTACAGTTACCAATGACATAGTTACAAAATCCGCCAGTGACCAAAAAACCGCCAGTGACCAAAGTGACTCTCGACCCGCAAAAAGTTACCGTGACTCTGATCCGCACAAAGTTACAGTGACTCCGACCTCCACAAAGTTAGAGTGACTTCGACCTCCACAAAGTTACAGTGACTTCGACCCGCAGTGACCAATATTACAGTTACCAAGACACCAAATAACAACTGCCTCAGTAACCACCCGAGCTCTAGTGACCATCCGGCTCCCGTGACCACCCGGCTCACAGTGACATCACTGCCCGCCAGTGACTATCTCCGACCATTGCCGCCCGGTCTGCCCATAACCGCCTCTACCTTGACCTACCCTAGTATCCTATTTGCCCCTTGCCCCACCAGCCCCCCCGGCCCCGCCAATCCGCCCATGCCCCTTGCCCCATCAGACCACCCCATAGCTGCCCCTGCCTCTGCCCCACCAGTCCACCCCAGCCCCACTAGTCAACCCCTTCCTAACTAGTCCACCCCAGCCGCTCCCATGTCACATTACACTAGCCGACCTTGCCTCGCCGTCGACACCGCTGCCTTGCCGCCAACTCTACTGTCGTCGTCTCAGATGGTGACACCATCTCTGCCCTCTACCCCAGCCCCTACCCTGCTCCCAGAACCGCTATTTCCTCATCACAACCCTAGCCGCAGCCGCCATATATAATCTGGATCTAGGCCGCCCACCGCCACCTCGATGCAACTTATCGCCTCAAAATCCTAGCCGCCGGTAACCTCATCACAAATCTGGAAATGAGGACGACGATGTCATTCTCCAGTGTTCGAACTCGTCTCTGGATCTCCTCAAAGCTTAATCGATTGAACGGAAAATAAGAAAAGGTGAAGAAGAACGAATGGGCGGCGACGTGGAACATGACGGTGGAGGCGACGGCATAAATGATGGCGGAGACGCCAGTACCTCCTCGAGGCAGAGCTTGAGCCAAGATGAGAGGCGTCAGAGCGACGGAGATGCTGCGGTGATGGAGGAGCTTCGAATATCATAGAGCTCGACGGATGCTGTGGCCATGGATGTGCGGCTGGAGGCAAGATGATTGAGACGATAAGATTTGGAATCTGGGGATTAGGTTTGAGTCACTCCGTATTATATGAGGGGTGCATATGTCCATCCACTTATAATTACTTCTATTTTTGTCCAAAATTAAAACAAGTCTTACTTTTGTCTTTGAGAAGTGTGGTAGTATTATATCTGTCATTATTTCTTAGTTCATTTCAATAGCTTTCAATAATCGGATATATTGGAAATTAATTAGCTATATGAATTGAATGTAGAGATCGGATTCGGATGGAATGGTGGCGTGTGTCAATCTTAGCCTAATTAGGGCCCAGTGTGTTGAATAAACAGAGCTTTGGGAGGATTTTTTTTTTGGTCTCGCTTTGGGAGGATATTGTGACAAGGAAGATAATTAAGCTGATGGTAACCTTGAGCATTAAATGGAGGACATATTTAGGGTAGTTTACAAATAGAGGGAAGTTTTTCAAAAAAATGTTTTCCAAAAAAATTAGAATAAAATTTGGATTAATCTATTTATAAAAAAATAGATAGATTTTTAGAAAGTAAGAAAGTAAAATATTTCGAGACCATAGGGGCTGTTTGTTTTTCAGCGGATTCATGCCAACCCGCTCCTTTTAGCAGCGGATTGTAGTCCAAAAAGAACAGCGGATTGCTCAATCCGCCGTTATACAAACGGGACCTATATAAGGTGAGCAAGGGGATCAAAACATGAATAAATTTTGTGGAAGCTTGGGTTCTCAGGGATGCACGGTTCAGGGATGCACAGTTATGGTTACACAGTGGTTTATTATGATAATAGTACCTTTAACATCTGGACCAAGTGTGAAGGGCAAAGAAACCACCTTGTAGCATGGATGCATAGTGCATGATAAATTGTCAAAAGGAGAAGGCCGCCATTGATGGGAATTGCATTTCACGATGAGACGCTCTCTTTCAGTGTTGTTGTTCCCGTGAATGATTTAATCGGAGCCAAAACTTTCATATATATGAAGTATAATATATTTCTCTTAATTTAAGAACAAAACATGAAAACTTATATGTTATTAAAAACTTCTTTATACAATATATACATGGTCTTATCTTTTAATCTATCATCATCAACACGAATAAGTATCATTTATAGACCAACACGATTTGTCATCCTGGAGATGTCAACACATCGTTGCCCATGATAAAAACATGTTTCGTCAATAAGAGTCTAACTTGAGAGAGTGAATATTCTACTTTTATTAATGGTAAAATTTGGTAATTGCATAAGAAGCTATTATGAGATATTGTGACCTCTGAAATGTAAAAGGTGTCCTACCAGTATGCGAAGGTGTCAAAGAAAGTTTTGGAATTAAGATTTTTTTTTTACTTGCACACTTACCATTGAGGATTTTAACCTCCACTACGTGATCACAAAGCTCAATTGTTATCGGTTTTGTCCTATTACATAAACCCATAAAATGATCGTCATTCCTCAATAGCATGATCAGAGTACGAACTTTCAATGTACGCAAGTTCATGGTTCGAAACCTCATTGGAATTAAGATTGATTATATACTCGTTAATTAAGTGCAACAACTATCCCCAAACAAAGACAATTTGTGATTATAACTTCGATACTTTAGGAATATGCATGCAGCATGCTCTCGACCATTAATTGATGCAATTGGATCATCGGAGATGTCATCTGGTATTTTTACACGAAACACATACCACCATTGTTGTCCTCTCCAACTATTCCATCTCCAACCTTAGCAATCCAATTGTTTTGAGGTCATAAGAATCATCTCTGTTGGTGAGATTCCGATCTCATATATTTCACCACAATTTGAATTTACTTTGATCTTTAACTTAAATTTAGAAATAATTACTGTAGTACATGTTTATGTTTTGTAATAACTTTATTCAATTTTTATATTCAATCGACCATAATACTATTCCTAGTAATTTTAGTACTTCCTCCGGTCCCAAATAATCTTCATGATTTGACTTTACGGTTTTCAAGAAGGTGATTTTTTTTTGTAGATTCTATGGTACCCAAAAGGTACCATACCTTTGTCCACATGGACCAATGAGAATGTAGCAGTTGAATTATTTAAATCTAAATTAAAAGTGATAAAGTGATGTGGTCCAATCAAATGAATGATAGGTACAGTACCCATTTTTTAAAAAGGTACCGGAGTTGTCACCTTTTTTTTTTTTACTTTTCCATCATATCCCTATAGAAAGTAGATAAAGTGTAATGAGAAAGAGAAAGTAGGTGTAAAGTAAGTAATAAGGTAAGGGTATAAGAGTAATTTTATAGTAAAAAGTTGCCAAAAATAGGAGTGTGAAGTTTATTTTGGACCTACCCAAAAAAGAAAGTGTGAAATTTATTTAGGGCCATATTTTAAATAAATTTTATATCATTGATTTTTTAAAAGTTTCACAAATTTATTTAAAATTGTACTTTATCCCAAATAAGTACGAGATACCAAGAGGAGGTACACGTGTTGTTAGACTTAAGATATATTATCAAAATTTGCTCACATCAATTAAATCCAGCTCAATACTACGGAGTAATAATTAATCCAACCCAACACCGTTAGACCTAAGTGATATATGTCTCGAACTCTCGGGGTAACGCCTAGTGCAACCTTTCATCTTCCACATGGCCACACTCCAGTCAACCCCATCCGTTGTGTTCGGATGTGCGTACCCACGATGATCTCTCTATCGACTCACCGCTCCAATATATACAACATAGTTAATGAGGAGTTCACATTCAAAACCGGCAAAACACGGTCAAATGACTTGATAGTGCATCTATCTTTTAAATCCTGAATTGATAGAATTATTAAAAAAAAAAGGATACATGTATCCTCTAACATCTTTTTTATTAATACTTGTATGGGAACTTAAGAAATAATTAAGGAAAATTCATTGGTGAAACAAATATATTTCACAACACCGTTAGGGGCAGCAAACACACTCTTAAGCTAGAAGCCTGCAGACTGTGGAGAAGTATTTGGTGTCAACTTTGGGTAAGCTTTCAACAGCTCAGATAAGGCCTCAACAAATTGTGGATATTCTGGAAAACGCTCACTCACCTGCGCACAAAACACAGTAACACAATTGTGGATACTACACACACTTGTGTGTAGTATAATAAACAAATAATAACAATAGCCAAGAAAGAAGTATAATAACTAATTTAAGAGATTATGCATGACGGGATTACCGCTTTCACGAAAGAGGCATCATTAGTCCACTCATTGTAGTAATGAAACTGGACGAACATTTTATGGAATGTTCCATACATGTCTTTGCCACTTTTTTGAATCTCCTGCAAGTTTACGAATTCTGTTCTTATTTCTCTCTTTTGCGAAGGCATTAAATGGTAGAAAGAAACTATATATGCACGCCCATGAATTATTCTAGACATCACTATTACCTTTACTGTAGTTTTAAATTTCTTCCAAACTGGACTGCGTTCGATCCACCAGCACTTATCCATCTCCATATCAGCGAAGTAACACTTCTTCCCTGCAAAATACCAATCTTTCAGGTGAAAGAATAACCTGATCATAACAAACAAGTGACCCTATCTTTATGAAATGATTGAGCCGCAGTCATTCAACACAGCCATCGTCAGGAAGAAGCAAAAACCTTGCCCGACGCTTGAAGATTTCGTAACAACAGAGCGCTTTCTCCCTGCAAAAATCAAAAGCAAGTAAGGAGAGAGTGACAGAATTCAACACATAATAAACGAGCAGGAACTTACAACCAGAGAATAATCCATAATGTTTCAAGCGCAGAATAAACATATCCAGAAACAAATAATATGAAGTACCTCGCCCATTGTTTGAAGGTTGTGCAACTGGCAACACTTTCTTCCCTACAAATCCCACATTGTCCAGGGTGAATGAAGAAAGAAGTGGCCAAACTCAGGATATAAAGACAAGAAAAACACTAATGAAAGTGAAATGAATTAAAAATAAAAGCACAAACAAGTTAAAATAAACAAGATTATTTCAAACAAGGAAATCAGAAACAAAACCTCTTCTGGTGCTAGAAGATTTTTCATCTGCAGAGCGATGCAGCGCACTCCCTGCAAATCCCATGTTTCAGAAAAATCTTAAATTGAGAAAGAGAAAGTGATGACAGACTTAAATCTTAAATTGAGAAAAATATCTAGATGTAAATGATACACAAAAGTGAAACTATCAAACACATGAAAGAAAACATCAAATCCAGGCCAACTGGGTAGTACGGAGTACTTCGTATTTTACAAACCAAAATAAGAATTCCGGTGACAAATTTACACGACAAACAAACAAAACACAAAATGAAGAGACAAAAAAACTTCGAATATGAAGATAATTCTATTCATTTCACCTCTGGCCTTCCCCAAACCCTCAGCCAAACCCACTAGATCAAAATGCCAAATATATACAAGTTGAAACAACTTATCAACGGCTCAAGGAATTGCCTAAACCACTAGAAGGATCTCCACCTCCACAACCAGAGCAATCCTACCAATTTGTAATAAAACTAGAAGCATAAAAAAAAACAGAACATACAAGTTCAATTCGAAGGAAAATCTTATTTCTAAATACGGACTAAAGAAAGATGCCGCATAAAACTATAGATACGAACAAGATTCCATTGATTGTGCTCTTGTCCTGTCTTTTCCCAACCCAACCCCACAGCCTTGATCACGAAAAAGCTTCGTCTGAGGCCAACGACAAACCGGATCAAAGTTTGATTAAATTAGCGGACCAAGGAACGGCCTATACTTTTTATAACCCTCCCCCTCCTCGATAAGTCAAGCAGATTATCGCAAAACGCAATGAAATTCAACATTTACGAAACATAAAAACCCGATTTTATACCTTGTTTCTCACTCTATTTTCGTCGCATCTATTCAGAAAGAATGACGGAGTCGAATTAAATAAAACAAAGGGCAGGGACAATTCTTACTTGTAACGGGAGCCATTCACCGTTCGTAATTCAAAAAACTTTGCTAAAGATAAGATGAAATATATTTTAATGCAGGAGAGCAAGCATGGTTTTGGATTGAGAAAATGGGCAAATCCCTGGAGCGAAAAACACTCCCTTTTCCATTAAAAGAGGGCATATCCCCCTTAGTAGTTAACAACCTGGGGAGAACTTGTGGTAAATGCAAATATATCCCTTAATTTTCTCCACTAAATCATATTCAAGTCTAACTTTTTTTGCGAGCAAATTAACTAACTAGACATGAATAAACTAGACCTCAAAAAATTATAAAATACCCAGAAACTCACCATTTTCCTAATTTTCTCCATTTCAACGAGTGAAATTCGAGAATCAATTTCTCATTCAACTGTTATCCGTTTTGAATATACCACATGTCCAATTGTAGCCATTAATGACGTGCATTTTGTCGTGGTGTGCACTCAAAGTAATAATACAATACGACACTGATACGTAGTATAGCGAAGTAACGTTCGTATCCATAGGGAAATGAATACTTCTCTTTTTATATAACTAGTAACAAGGGGGTTTTAGATTTGATTTGATTTAATTTAATTAACACTAAGATGAACGACTTAAATGAGTTTAATTAATAGAGATGGGGACTTGGTTTTGCTTTTATCCACTTAATGAAATGTTCGTCGATCCCAGTTATATCTTTAACTATCTTCCTCTCGAATACTCAATCGAGGAATATATCCAGTTCATCGAGGGTAGTTATTAATAACGAGACGCGTTCATTAATAAAACTTACTACCGAGTTAATATAGAATAGACGCCGTATATTAACCCGATAGTAGCAATAAAATCAAGATGAAAACGATTGAGATTGATTACTTCAACACAAGCGGTTTATTGGTTTAATCAACATAATTAATTCCCCTTGGTTTATTAACCATGAAACACATGCATTCATAACCCAAGTTTACTACCGTGAAACGATCAAACGATTAACAAGCGTATTCGTCGATCGATTCTAGTAATAATTAATATATGAAATAAAACTAGTTGATCCTTTAAGTAATGTTCAAAATATTAATATGAAATATGAATATGAATTAATTAATACTCAAGGAAGAATATTAAATAAGATGAATCCTACTATAGTTAATATCAAGATGTTAACTAATTGTCATCTTAGTAACACTCCCCAATATTAACCTAGAGGAAGAAATAACTATTACTATAACTAATGTCAAGATGTTAACTAATTGCCATCTTAGTAACACTCCCCAACATTGATATAAAAATAGTATTTAAAAGAAGAATTAATATTCAAAGAAGAAGATTAAAGAGAGTAACTCACAACTTACAAATTCATTAAGCTTTAAAGTAGCAAAACCAAGATGGAAGAGTTTAGCTCCTCATTTAGAGACTAAACATGATAGAAAATATAAAGAAAACACTAATCTAAACTGAGCTAAAGAGTATTTGTGAATTCGTTCCCTTAATGTGAAGGAGAAGAGGTGTATTTATAGCAAAATAGAGGTGGCAGGGTTCGGTACTCGATCCAGTATTGGCAGTACTCGACCGAGTATGAGAGGAAATTTCCAGGAAATTGTGAAAAATAGGCATACTCGACCGAGTATTGCCAATACTCGACCGAGTACGAGACATGATTTGCATCAAGTATTCAACCACGTTCTTTTGCTCCCAGATTTGATTTTGACCAGCGTATCAGGCAATACTCGACCGAGTATTGGCAATACTCGACCGAGTATTGAACAAATTTCAAAATCTTCATTTGATCTTCTCCTTTTTGCACATTCTTTGGTCTTTAGGATCCATCCTTTGATTCTTGGGATGATTTTGACCTGTCCTAAGCTCAATATAATCCTAATCTAAATAAATTAAAAATAATTAATGAAAATAAAGTATTACACCAAAAGTGTGTAATTTCCACAACTAGAACTAATAAAACTAGTTAAAAATACAAACATACATAATAGGAAATTCACCATATCAATTAACAATGGCAATCTGAAATCACTTTGATCCAACATAAATCGAAAGTGGATCCCACACAAAATATTGCCCAAAGTTTACCATTTAATGCAATTTTTAACACATTTTTTCAACATTTACTCCATATTCTATATTCCCTGCTCCTACTGGCCCAACCCGACATGCAATTTTTGTTAAACGATGTACACAAAAGTGATCAGTCTCCAGAATGGGCTTGTCAAATTTATTTTTGGTAAACTTATCAAACTCCAATGGGCTTGTCACGGTCGGGTCCGTGACAAGATTCAAATTTTGAATCTTGTCATGGACTTTGTCACGGACCCATCCGTGACAAACTTCTATATATAAACAACGCTTAGATTTTTTTCCAACTTACGTTTACAAAACCTAATTTTCCCCCAAATTTCTTCTTCCTTCTCTCTTAGTCTTCCGTCCACCGCCCAAGTCAGTGCACCACCGCCGCCATCCTCTGCCGTCCGCCGCTGATACCTTTATCTTGAAACGGCTTTCTCTCCTCTTCGTTTGACCAAGGTTACATGTTCTAACTTTTATTAATTTTTTTCGTATTTATAATAATTGATTATAACTTTTCTAAAATACAAAAAAAAACATGTTTTGTTATTATTATTATTATGAACAATCCAATAATCCAACTTTTGCACCTCATCTTCATTCAATAGTCCCTGACCGGTTGATGATCTGCTATTGCAAGTTATTTTCTTATTTTTACAAACCATTATACCATAAATCTCACCTTTCACAAAGATAATATCTTGCAAAGATAAGAAAATAACTTGGAATAGCAGGTCATTAACCGGTCAGGGACCAGCGAATGAAGATGGGGTGCAAATGTTGGATTATTGTGAATAACGAAAAGGTGGAACTATTGTAAGAAAACGGCTAAAAGGTTGGATTATTAGTTTGCATTTTCCCTTATTATTATTTGTTGGGTTAATGGCCCAAGTCAGGGTCCGGCCCATTCACCCATTCTTTACCAGACGTATGTCCAGTCAGGTCACTGAGCAGGCCTAGCAAGCCCGTTTCCTCCAGGAGGGACGAACGTCTGCAGTAGGGGGTTGGGCTCAGCGGCCCATCCCGACGAACGTCTGCAGTAGGGGGTTGGGCTCAGCGGCCCATCCCGACGAACGTCTATGCAGGGACAAGGAGCAGGCCCACGGGTCGCCAGGATGACGATGAACGTCGTCAGAGCACGCCCATAGCCATCGGAGACGGTCTAGCCCGCATGGCAGGAATCCACAAAGGCCAGGGGACGAACGGCCAGTACCCCCTGGGGGGCTACCTGGAGCAATCCAGCTCGCTCCCTGGGCGGACGAACGTCCCAACTAATTAGGCGGGAAATCTAGATTCTGGCGGGAAGCGCATTTAATGCTGAAGATTTGGTGGTTGAGGCACCAGCGGACCACAGGCTTCCACGTCAGTGTAGCCACCTGCCCATTGGTGGGTATAAGTAGAAGCATTTATTTCATTGTAAAGGGTTGGCAACTAATTAGCCTTAGCATTCTAGCTTATTTCTCTTACTCGCAGCTCAGATTACTGCCTAGTGAGACGAACGGCCGACGTGCCTTTTTTAGCAAGTAGATTGTACTTAGGGGAGTTATTACGAAGTTAATAATACCTATTTACATTGCCTGCTATTTCCTCTGTTTCCTGATCCGTCTGATAGTTGTTGGGCTAGATACTCATACACTCATACACCCACTCCACTCGAAATCTTTGGGCTTACGTGTTGGGCCCGAGGGTTGAAGGAATAAACCTCAACATTATTATTATTATTATTAAAATGCATGCTCTATTTGTTTAAATATACCCAAATGCATGATCTATGTACTCAAATGCATACTTAAATTTTCCATATGCATGCTCTACTTGTTGAATTTATTAAAATATATTTTCGTACAATATTAATTTGCATGTTTAAAGTTGATAATTTTTTTTAGTTTGAAGTTTAATATGCATGCTTAAATTATAGTTTGATACAATTTGTTTTTCTTTTTTGTTTATATGTTCAATATCCATGCTTAAACATGAATTCTTTTTTGTTTAAACCATATGCATGAATATTCTAATGTTTTTAGGTTATTTTGGGAATTATTTTCGGACTTATAA